GAATGTAAATCTTAGCACTTCTTAGAGTTTAGTGTTTCTGTTTAGTGTGCCTGTAGGGTTTCCTAATAGTTTACAAAATTCACAAGTAGTTGTTGCATAAATCAAAGAATTGGTATTCCAGTGTTAACCAACAAATCTTAAGTTTATGCAGAAGCTTTTGTGTTTCAGACACTGTCGTTTTTACATGTAAAAGTTTATCACTGAGACCTTGTGGCAGCCCTGTGAAGTAAATAAAACTTTTGCAGCATTGATGGCCAGAATTTGACTTAACGACGACTGTCCTGAAATGGCTAAATTTTTCTTAGCCTCAAAGGCAGGTATTGTATCCTAAAGTCATCTTCATACCTGCTCTAGTGCCTGTTAAATTAGTAAATGGCGCACTGATGAGTAGGGAACAGAATGTGCCATCAAAATCAGATCTAAGATGAATATATGAAGCAAAGTAAAGTGATTTAGTAATCGTAATGTCATTAGATGAGATAACTGAGCAGATAGCATTTTACTTTGAAGGATAGGCCTCTTGTTAAATGTTATGTAATTCTGTTTTTAAGTCTTGATATTTCATGCATAGTGTAAGGTAGTAAAAATATTCATGGTCTAACACATTGAACTATGATGTATTTTGATTATAGTTTGTTATTCTGTGAAAATGAACTTTTTTTTAAATTTCAGCGTTTCAGAGAAAAGCTGCCTTCATATGGAATGCAAAAGGTAAAAAAAGTGCTTTGTAATGCTTTGATTGCATAATAGCTACCATCATTTTTTGAAATGAAGTTCCATAGGGAGGGGACAGAAGTTAATAAACCTTTACTATACACAAGTTACCTTAATTCTTTCAAGTTGTTGAAGGGCAAGAAGGAAAAAAAACATTGGTTATGAGACAGTTTTCTATTACTTGTGTCCATTATTGAACCCTTTGGAGCTTAAAAAATAGAGTTTTCATATATGTTTCTTTGGAAGATATGTTGCTTTTAATTCAGGTCCAAGCACTTGAGTTAAAATTGAGACACTGCCAAAATAAAGTGTTTAATTTGCTAACATTTCAGCACACAGTTCCCCTGCCTAGAATATTATAATCCTGAATCCTTCTCTGTCCTCCCAACCTTATTTATTTTTCTTTTTCTTTGCTTTTCATAGCACTTATTACCACCTGACATCTGTGTGTGTTCCCCTCCTAGTCCAATGTAAGTTCTGAGGATAGGGTCTGTTTTGTTCATTCTACGTCTCTGTCTACTTGAAACAGTATCTGGCATTATATTGGCATCCAATATCTGTTTGTTGAATGAATGAGTTACATTCCACTTCTCAGCATAGTTGTCCCTCACAGTGGGGGATTGGTTCTAGGCCCTCCTGTGCATACCAGATCCTCAAATGCTCAAGTCCCTCATACACAATTTTCATATAAACTGCATAGATGTCTTTGTACACTTTAAACCACCTTTAGTGATTAATCACCTTTGGTGACTTATAATATCTCTAATAATAAATTGTTTAGGGGAATTATGAGAAGTTCAGTATAGGTAGGTAGTTCAAAAATTTTCACATGTGGTTTGTCAGATCTGTAGATGCTGAACCCATCCATAGGTATATGGAGGTACTAAGGACCAAATGACCAGCTATGTTAGTGTGCAAGCTTGAAATTTTTTGATGATACATTGTGTATCATTTTTGTATTGTAGATATAAAAAAATTTTAGACATAGTGTTTCTTCTTGTTTTTTGTTTTGTTTTGTTTTGGTCTTTTTGAGACAGGGTCTCCCTGGAGCTCCAGTGGCCTGGAACTCCCTTTGTAGACCAGGCTGTCCTGAACTCACAGAGATCCCTGCCTGCCTCTGCCTCCCAGGTGCTGGGATTAAAGTTGTGCGCCACGCCCAGCCCTTAGAAAAAGGTTTTTAAATTATTTTGCATATTAAAATACAAGCTTTACTGCCTTTGGAAGTAGTAGAGTGATGGTTTTGGTAATACAGTGAGTGTTAAAAATATTATTGTTTATCTAAAATTTATAAGAAAGAAGTTACTTCCTTAAAGGTCAGGTCTTCCAGGTACTCAATTTACCATTTAATTTGAACAGGATTTTAAGTATTCTTTTCAGATTTAATATATATTGTTTTTATTTTCTCTTTTGAAATAGGAATTGGTAAATTTAATCAATAACCATCAGGTAGCAGTAATAAGTGGTGAAACTGGTTGTGGCAAAACCACTCAGGTTACTCAGTTCATTTTGGATAACTACATTGAAAGAGGAAAAGGATCTGCATGCAGGATAGTGTGCACTCAGCCAAGAAGAATCAGTGCCATCTCAGTAAGTAAGCGCTCACCTGTACAAATGCCCTTTGAGCTCTCCTTTAGGTAATTTTGCTAAAACTTAGTGATTTTTAAGATTTAGAGTGCTGGTTTATTGTGCTTAGGATTTGTGGCTATGAAAGCAAATAGTGGTTTGCAAATATTTAGTAAGAAAGACCAAAAGACTGAGTGACATGTCTCTCACTGCCCATAAAATATCTATGGGATGGATGGTACACTCTAAATAATCATTATTTGATGCTTAGACTTTTGCCACTAGGTTTATTCAATGTCATTTAGTAGTCTGTCTTCTCAGTTTTTACATACACTGAATAAAGGTGAAAATGGGAAGCCTTAACTTTTTCAGCTACATTTCCATAGTGGATGACTTTTGAGTGCAAGTACTGAATAAGAAGGAGTGATTGTCTCAGACTCACCTTGTTTACCTGAGTGACGCAGCATAGACGATCTTTGAGTGCAAAATTTCAGGAATATAAGTACGGGTGGTGCTTAAGTAACATTTTCTTACGGTTCTTGTGGCTTTTAGCTAGATGACCTAGTTATATATCAACTATGTATTCTTTACAGATTATTTTTTTCCACTATTCAGTGAGAATAGTGGACTTACCATATTTGAATTTGTGTGCAAATACAAAAGACATAGATTTATGGATATCTAGTTTTATAAGCACATTTTGTAGTAATATTGAATTTGTTGTTAGAAATACATTACTAATTATAGCAATATTTGTGGTTAAACTGAGTATTTTAGTCTATGGACTATTTTTGTTTGTTTGTTTGTTTGTTTTATTTTTATTTATTCCTTTGGTCTTTTTGAGACAGGGTCTCCCTGTGGCCCCAGCTGTCCTGGAACTTACTATGTAGACCAGGCAGGTCTTGAACTCACAGAGATCCGCCTGCCTCTGCCTCCTGAATGCTGGGATTGAAGGTGTGCGCCACCACGCCCGGCTGTTTTAATATTTTTATTATTACTTTTTAAATTATTTAATAAGCACATACTTAGAAGAAGCATTTCATTACAATTGCATTGACAATTTCAATAACAATTTCCTGAGCTAAGATGCATCTCTTTCAAAATTGGCTATAAATTTTTAGGTTTATAGTTGAATTGTTACAGTTATACATA